CTTGTGAGCATCCAGGTGGGGCAGCAGGTTGTAAACTGCTTCCTCCTGAATTATGGGGGGTTTATTCTGCTCTCCATCCCTGTCTTCCAGCTCAGGGGGCTGAATACCCTGGGGATAACTGGTCAGGCTATTAAAGACTGAGGCAAAGAAGGCATTAAGTACCTCAGCCTTTTCCTCATCCTTGGTGGCAATGTTCCCCCTCCCATCCAATAAAGGATGGAGATTCTCCTTGGCTCTTTTTGTTGTTCATGTATTTGTAAAACCATTTTTTGTTCTCTCTTATAACAGTGGCCAGATTGAGTTCAAGCTGGGCTTTTGCCTTTCTAATTTTCTCTCTGCATGACCTAATGAGATCCCTGTACTCTTCTTGAGTTGCCTGCCCCTTCTTCCAGAAGCTATGAACTCTCCTTTTTTACCTGAGTCCCAGCAAAAGCTCCCTGTTCAGCCAGGCTGGTCATCTCCCCCGCCGGTTTGTCCTACGGCACATGGGGACAGCCTGCTCCTGCGCCTTTTAAGATTTCCCTCTTGAAGGATGCCCAGCCTTCCTGGACCCCTTTGCCCTTCAAGACTGCTTCCCAAGGGACTCTCTCAACCAGAGTCCTCAACAGGCTAAAGTCTGCCCTCCAGAAGTCCATGGTGGTGGTTTTGCTGATGATTTGCTCCTTCCTTCACCAAGAATCAAGAACTTTATCATTTCATGGTCGCTAAGGTCAAGATGGCCTCTGACTACCACCTCTCTCCTGCCTGTCCTTCTCTGTAAACAGCAGGTCAAGTGAGGCACCTCCCCTGGTAGGCTTGCTTACCAGCTGTGTCAGGAAGTTATCTTCCACACAATCCAGGAACCTCCTAGACTTTCTTCTCTGCTGTGTTGTATTTCCAGCAGATGTCTGGTAAGTTGAAGTCCCCCATGAGAACAAGGGCTCATGATTGAGAGACTTCTACCAGCTGCTTGTAGAATGCTTAATCTACCTCTTCATCCTGGCTGGGTGGTCTGTAACAGACTCCCAGCAGGATATTTGCCTCGTTGGCCTTCCAATAAGGCTTACCCATAAGCACTCAACCTCATCATCACAATTGTTGAGCTCTGTACAATCAAAACACTCCCTAACATACAGAGCCACCCCACCGCCTCTCCTTGCTTGCCATCCCTTCTGAAGAGCTTGTAGCCATCCATTGCAGCACTGCAGTCATGGGAGGCATCCCACCATGTTTCTGTGATGGCAACTAAGTCACAGCTATCCTGCTGCACAATGCCTTCCAGCTCCTCCTGTTTGTTGCCCATGCTGCGTGCATTGGTGTAGATGCACTTGAGCTGGGCTATCGATTTCACCCCCAACGCTGGCATGCCAGCCCTAGGTTCCCCTCTAATGAGCCTGGTTATATCCCCCTCCCCCTTCAAACCCAGCTTAAAGCCCTCTTGATGAGCCCCGCCAACTCATGAGCAAGGATCCTTTTCCCCCTTTGAGATAGCTGAACTCCATCTGTTGCCAGCAGGCCCGGTGCCCACACGCACGGTGAGGTCCCTTTGCTGAAACACTGTCCCACACTGTATGGGGGGAGGAACCAGAGACAGAGCCAGCTGCAGCAGCAGTCATCTCCCCAGCTTACCGAACACAAGACCAAAGTCCTGCGCTGCACCCACTTCAGTTCCCAGCACAGATCTCTATGGGTGCTGCTTAGCTCTCTCTCTCTGCTTGTCTTAATGTCAGGAACCACCAGGACTGGAGAGGTCCTAAGCTTGTGCTGTGCCCATTGCACAGAACGGTGATTTTGCAGGGCAGTACCAGCATGACACTGCCAGGCAAGGTGTGCTGTTGTGCAAGCCATGAAATGTTGCTGGATCTGTCCTGCACCACCCAGTCCTCTGGCATATCCAACACGCTGCAGACCTAATGAGTTCAATTCTCACCAAAGCATTGCATCTCACGACTGCAAAGCTGCTGCTGTTTGGAAAAACACCTCAAACCCCAGTGCTATTCCCTCCCCCCCCAACCCCGGGATTATTCACGGCTCTAAAACGCATCTGGGCTCAGGAGGAAAAGCTCAGGCGGTTGATGGATGGTGTGCAGGGTGCAGGACTGGCATGTCTGAGCAGACGCTGCAACATTTCTGGCCGGGATGGGCAGTCTCCCCAGGCACTAACACGACAGACCAGGAGCAGAGGGCGTTCATGCAGACGAAGATGGTTACGTGCAAAGCGAGAAGGTGAAAGGTCCAAGTACCAGGTCAGAGGTTGCCTCGAGCGGTCGCTTCAGTGATCTGACAGCTGGCTGAGTCTTAATTAGCAGGCAGCGAGCACATGATGGCAATGGGCCGGGGAATATATTAAAAAGATGAGGCATGCACAACGTGGGGTGGCAGAGTAATTACCTGGCCTAGCAGCTTGCCAGCTATTTTGCCTCCGTAAATTTTAAAAGTAAAGAAATACTATCATGGGATACGTGCTCTAGAGCATCATCACTGTGGCTGGCACAGCGGGCGAGGAGCGCTCGGGGATTAGCACCTGCAGGTGGACTCGTGCTGGGCTTCAGCCCTAATTCTGCAGCTACGCGCCATGCGGAGGTCAGCAGGAGCGCTCGTGGCAAGGGAACCGCCAGCGGTAAAGGGAGGTTCAAGCATGTGCTGAAGTGCCATCCTGAACTGGGGACCGAGCCTGACCCAGTTCGCCTCACTGTGCTGTGCAGACTGCAGCCAAGCAGGAGTGAGTAAAGCTACTACTCGTGCATGTCAAGTAACTGCAAGATTGGGTCCCTCAGAAATATCTTCTGAATTTAGATTTGAAGTCATTCCAAATCTATTTTAGCAGGTACACCCATTTGTCTGGCATATGTTTTTTGATCCAAGAAAACTGGGCACCATTCTTCACTTTATTAAAGTCTTATTCCACAACAGGTACAGTAAATGCATCAAACCTTGAAAAGTCAATGAATAATGTAAGCTGTTTTGGTAGCAGGGGTGATGCAACAAGCCATCAATAAATATTTTAAAAGTTCTAGTTAACAGCATACAAATAAGGTTAATTACATTTTTAAGAGAAGCCAGCAGCGTGAATAAAACATGTACTGGCTTTGGTTAAGTAGCAGTGTCCTAGATAATTAGTGAAAAAGTAAAGATTCAAGCTGTGCTGTGCAGACTGCAGCCAAGCAGGAGTGAGTAAAGCTACTACTCGTGCATGTCAAGTAACTGCAAGATTGGGTCCCTCAGAAATATCTTCTGAATTTAGATTTGAAGTCATTCCAAATCTATTTTAGCAGGTACACCCATTTGTCTGGCATATGTTTTTTGATCCAAGAAAACTGGGCACCATTCTTCACTTTATTAAAGTCTTATTCCACAACAGGTACAGTAAATGCATCAAACCTTGAAAAGTCAATGAATAATGTAAGCTGTTTTGGTAGCAGGGGTGATGCAACAAGCCATCAATAAATATTTTAAAAGTTCTAGTTAACAGCATACAAATAAGGTTAATTACATTTTTAAGAGAAGCCAGCAGCGTGAATAAAACATGTACTGGCTTTGGTTAAGTAGCAGTGTCCTAGATAATTAGTGAAAAAGTAAAGATTCAATTGTAAAAAACGCAAGAGTTTCATTTCAGAAGGTTCTTTTTCAACAGACCTGTGCTGTTGTTTCAACAATAATAAAAATAGTAAGAAATCTAACAAACAAACTGTGCAGGACAACTAAATACTGCAATATGAACTGGTTCTTCAAATTACATTCAGGTAATACTGATGCTACAAGGAGGACAGTTGTTTAATTTCTAGAATCTTCTTGGGTTTGTGTTACATTTCACCATGAACAATAAGCAACCTTTTACTGTCTTTAGAAAAAAATGGCTTTAGAAAAATTTTAGTAGCCTTACTTGTAAATCAAAATGGAGACAAGAACCTTTTTAATATTAGTTATATGAAAAAAAAACCCAACCCACAGAATGGATGAGGTTGGAAGGGACATCTGGAGATCATATACTCCAACACCCTGCTCAAGCGGGGTCAACTAGAGCAGCTTGCTCAGGACTGCATCCAGGCAGGTTTTGAGTATCTCCAAGGATGGAGCAACTTGTTGCAATGTTTGATCACCCCCACAATAAAGAATTTTTTTTCTTACGTTTAAAAGGAATTTCCTGCATTTCATTTTATGCCCATTGCCCCATGTCTTTTACTGGGCACCACAGAGAAGAGTCTGCCTCCATCTTCTTTACTTCCCCCATTAGGAATTTATGCACATGGGTAAGATCCCCCTGAGACTTTTCTTCCCTCCCCAGGCTGAACATCTCAGCTCTCTCATCTATGGAATAAACAGGCGCCATTAAATTGAATTCAACAGAATGGCAAACATCTACTCCAGCTAGGAATTTGATCTGGTAAGTCTTCCTTGATTTGTTTTTAGAACTGTAGGTAGCAGAAGTCACAATTCAAATTAAAATGCAGGTGGGACCATCTCTACCAGGTCCTAAGTATCAAACAGGTCAGGAAGTCACCTTTGGTTTGAGTCTTGTCATTTCACTAAGCCATGGCAGAGATATCAGGCACAAAGCTGCCCAGTTTGCTAGGCTTGAACAACTGATACCTTGTCTGCTTTGACGTCAATGGAAATTTTGCTACTGCCCTCAACAGGCCAGGATCTCCCTGCAAAGGCTGTATTATGGGGATGGGCATTCTGTGCTTTCATTGTGTACTGAGGAAGCTAGATTGACACCTAGGACTCAGCCAGGGAAGGTGTCTGCTGCTGTACTTGCATTCATGTCACCTCATGAAGTCATGGCAGAAAATCACAGGGTTCGCCACCGTGTCCCTAACTGGCAAGATGTGCTGTGCCACTCAGGGCTTCATGCTACGGTGAGCACGTAGACAGGATGAAGAGATGGGATTCATATTGCACATGCTCTCAGCTCTTTAGTCAGCCATTTACAAAGCATTCTGCTTTTCCACAAACGACACATATGACACAAATGAAATCTCTTAGCAATGGAAATACAGCTTGAGAAGAGCTCTACTTACCATTGCAGCTGCAGCTGTCTGGTTCACCTGGTGTTGAGCTGCCTTGATTTTGGCTTGCAGGTGTGCAGGGGGATGAAAGTACTTGCATTTCTCCCTAGAGCATCGACCTTTGATGTAATCCATGCAAACTGTAACAGTATTTTCATTTGTGTCTATCATTGCAATATCTATAGGGTGAGCATAGCGGCAATCATTCTCACCACGTGTGCAGTTTCCACGCTGAAACTCTCGACAAACCTTAAAAGAAAGTCACATTGTTGAGCAGGACATCAAGTTACTCTTCATTCAGTATTTTCAACACAGAGTATCAGTTGAGTTATCCACATTAAATGATGTGTGCATTACAAATCCATGCTCATCTTGGGTAGCACATATACCAACAGTCACAGAGACAAGTGGTGGTACTCACAACAGGTTCAGGGTATGAAACAACCCCACAACGTTACCAAGGCCAGTTACCAAATGCAAGTGAAGTACAGAATTTGTGCAGAATGGAAAGTGAGCCCAGGAAGTCAATGGTGTTTTGCCAAAACTTTTGGAGCTCAGGATTCCTCCCCTGCCTCTAAACCTTAAATGTTAATAACTCTGTCATTTGTGTCTCAGCTGGATTATGTATTTGTTATGGAGCATGCTCTTGGTAGGACATTTAATTCTAAATGCTGCATGCTACTGGTATTTGCAACAAGTACCTTTTCTTAAATATGACAAATGTCTTTCACATAAATAGTCTCACTGCCCTCCACAACCAAACTCTGACCCTGGGGTTACATGACAGCACGTTTGATTACACTGCAACATGTTCATAAGGTGTTACCAAAATTGCTAACTTTACAAAGATCTTGCAGTTCCTTGTAAGTTATCAGCACTGAAGCATCAAAGGCAGAGAAAAGGGTTTCACCAAATGGATCTGCAAGGTTTCCTTATCTGAGGAACCAAGAGAAACTGCTGAGGACTATAGCTAGTGGTGTAGCTCACATACCAGCGCACTATCAGACTGAGTGTGAGGGAAGGTGAGACGTCACGTGAGAACGGAAGCAATCAGCAAGGCAATATAAAGCACATAACACAAAACAATGTGTTTTGAAATTACACCCTTCTCCACTACCTTCCTGTGTTATAATTTACACCTGCAGGGGCCTCTGAATTCAGGTTCTCAGCCCGTAACTCCTGCAGAGCCTCTGCTTAGGGTTTGAAAGACATTTACAACTCCTCCAACGCATGCCCAGCCAACTGGATGGGGGGAGGAAACATCTTTCCAATGCCCCGTTACCCAGCATTCCCAACAGCATTACAATGCTTAAAGCTTTCTGTAAAAGCTCACCAAGCCCATCTCAAGACAAGGGAAGTGTCTGTTACTTCCAAAACATCTCCCACTCAACTCAGTGAAACAGCAGACCATCCACTTACATTTTTAAAGCATGGCAGATCCCACACCGAAAACAACCACCCCAGTCCTGCTCTAACGCTCACTGAAATCAAAGAGTGAGTGCTCCCAAATTTCCAGTGACTTCCAAGGATTTGGGATGTGGGCCAACATGAGAGTCTGCTCAAGCAGAGCACAGCAGCCCTGTATTAGGAAAGCTGCAGGTTAAACTCTGCACTGTACTGTGTCAGGTCACTCTAGCAGAGAGCAAGAGCTGGGCCCACATGCCCTGTTCATTCCCGTCAACAGTATCGGTATCAGACGTCCAAATACCTCCAGTTTATCCGTACGCATCAGTTTCTGCCCAGCAGAGCCTCCTGGTACTGTAACAGTAGGATTCCCAGAAACCAGGACAGGAGTATTTGGTAAAAGCTCTGCAGGAACCAAGCCCATCCCAGGAGAAACATGACTCAGGTAGGGACTAAAAGCCATCGTGGGGCTTGTTGCAAGCGATGGAGTCACAGGAAACGTTGTCTGTGTATAGAAAGAGAAAAAAAAAATATTAGTTAAAAAGCTCTGTCATGGATTACCCATCAAAGCCTTGTGGCACTTCAATCCTTTTAGACAATTTGATTAGCGATATCAGAATGCTGTGCTCTCCAATCTATTCATTTACGCCATTTTCTTGCAATCCATTCGCTTTTCCTGACTCACAGATTTGTGACTCATCCTGAACACAAGGCATCTTTATTTGCCAGATCAAAGCATATTGATGATCTTTATAGTTTAATGACACAATTAAGGATTTCATGCCAGCAATTAGGGCAGGCCCAAATTAAACAGACTTCTCATTCCCAAATAAATGCAGCAGCTTCTGTGTCTACATCACAATGCTGTACCGAGACCTCAAGGTAAGCTGCAGCTTCAGGACCTGGAAGCAAGTAACTCCATTAGCTACATGGTTGAATCACTATCAGCCTGCACCAAGCTCCTCGTTTTCGTGGCTAGTGCGGCTCAGACAGACAAACAGGATCATTTAGAGTCAGGCGAGGCATCTCTGCTACAGCACGCTTCGAGGTCTAGCATTCTGCACATCTGGGGTTTGTTCCACATTGTCAACAGTCTCCAGGCAAAAGGAATTTTGCAGGAGTATCCCGAGCCTATGCTCCACGTGAATGGCAGCAAGAAGACACCAAACGCAGTAGTGTTACAACGTGCCAGACCCCGTGGCTTCGGCAAGAGCAGGTGGGTTGTGGGCTTGGAAGACCCATGGACAGAACATACCAGAGGAATGGCCCAGCATGAGGATCAGGACGCCAGCTATGCTATGGGGAGCAATGTCCCCATAAGGAGACAGAAAAAGCCATAAAGATCTCAACCACTTCTGATGCCTAACTTGGATCGGGGGGGGGGCTGGGAGCGCGGCAGAGCTTCAGCGCCAGCGGCCAGTGTGGGTCCCCCGCCCCGGTCATGCACCGCTCCAGCAGCGCCAGTCTGGGAAAGGAGCTGCTCTTCGGCCAGGCAGGAGAGGTCACACAAAGCTCCTAAGCAGGTGCTCAGTTTAAAGCCTGTGAATAGCCCCTGTGGCCAGGGAGTTTGTGAGACTTTAAAGCACCAGATCCAAGGTGTGTTTGGGAATGAAACCAGTTCCAGCTGATGAAAAATCCCCCCTCGTCGACCCCGAAGACCAGAGCCTGCAAGGCAGCACTCCTGCTCCTGTAGCAGGGGATCCAGCAGCCCCCAGGGAAAGGAGCCTGTGACTTGCAACTATTTTTATTTTCCCTTCTGTCACCTGCTCCACTGTGAACTCTGGGTTACAGTTAAAGCTGCTCGCAGTGGCAGGCATACGTGATGCCGTCCTCAGTAGCTAGAGCCTCTCTACTTGGCAATAAATGCAAGTGTGCTTACAAAATGGCCTGGGGCATTTTTTTGGCCACACACTTCATCCCCTCCTTACTTTTAGTTTTGTACCTCTAGTCCTGTAGGTTTCTAAAAGAAATCACATGTGTACAGTGTGTTTCTCGACAGCATCTTCATCCCGGTATTTTCATATGCTAGGAAACCCTTTGCTTGTGATTTGGAAGAATCTAGCCCACAGTAACAGCAGCCAAGCTGTCCTAACCTATATTTAGCTTAATGATGGCCCCTTCCTAAGGTCAGAGTGACAGCTAGCAGCTCCAGAGCTGATGGGAAAGGGGATGACAGGTCACGGCCAGCGTATGTCCCACTTTCTCCTCCACAACAAGGAGACGGGGCCTCCTGAATCAGCAGCGCCGAAAGTGTAGCAGAACCAAATAATCCTCTCTGAGACGGATTTCCAATTTTCCTTCTTTTGAGTCTAAGTCAAGCCCTGCTTCAGCTGATGGGAGACTTTAACCATTAAACCCAGAGACCCTCCAGTCCACGGCCCTTTATTGAAACATTTTCTTCTTTCTTTCAATTCTCTGTGGCTCCCAGACACTTTGCACCTTTTGCTACTAGAAAAGCTCTTTAAGGATCTTCAAATGCTGTGACTCCCTGAACACTTTAGTGCGAAGGCAGCATCCATTAGACCGTTTTCTTTTGTGCGAGCACCAGTAATTACAGCAGCATCTGCTGAACTTCTGCCACCATTCACACTGTAAATGCTATTTTAAGGAGTTTCTCCAGCCTGCACAGGGTTATGCTGAGGCCCAACACACGTTGTCAGCACTTGTTCTGTGTACCCGTCGTAGCCCAAACCTGACAGCACATGTGGCTTGCACAAACGTGTGGGCCAATCTACCCTATGTGTTCCAGCACCCAGTACAGCAGGAGTCCTGGGTGTCCTGACAGAGCAGGTGTGGCACAGACACTGCTCCAAAATTTCAGGAGATTCTTTAAGGCAGGCTTCCCCTGCCTGGGCTCGAACACAATCAGGAGCCAGCCTGAGGACCTACCTGGTTTCCTGAGATGGAGGGGAGATGTTCCTCCCACTGCTCAAGCAAAGCAACACCTCACACTAAGTGAATTCACCAGAAACTGGTGGGAAAGGGTGCAAAACATTCATGAAGACATGATATACCAGCCCCTCCACTGAAGCCGCTACAAACTGGGAGGCAGGTCTTGCTGCCTGAAACACAGTCCCCATCTCCAAGGCTGTTCCCTCAAGAGCAGCCTCCATCCTCACTGGGAGCGACTGGCAAGGGCTAAGGGATCTGAACCCAAGGCGAAGAGAGTGGAGGAAGGATGTCCATGAAGATCCTGGAGACCTGCAGAGGGGTGCACGAAGGTGCAGGATGGGTTTTTATTGCTGCCACTGGTTGTTCACCCATTTCCATGCCCTGGCATCTGCTGCCACGTTCCCAAGCCGCTGCTCCTGCCCGCCCGAACCGTGCCGCTGACTGAAAGCGACAGCTCTGCTCCACACCCTGCCCGCGGGCAGGGGACTGACACTCGGCAGCCACCCAGGCATTTTCAGTGGATGCGCAGCCAGAGAACGAGCAGACCTTGCTCAACACATTAAACCTTGAAGCACTGGGTTTTTTTAAGTCTGAAGTGTGCTAAGCACACTGAAAACTGCTCCTTTGTAAGCTGGCATCAGGGAGCTCTGTATTTATTGTGGCTGATGAGGGGAAAAGATGGGCTGTGCTCACTGCCAGCCCTGACTGCCTGTCTTGGATTGGGAAATCCAGTCTGGCTCACGCATCAGTACCAGTAATAAAGATGCTGCCAGCCAAATCTCTCCTCCCTTTACGTCTGTGCAGGTCCCCCGTGCCAGGCCTGTCCTGACGGAATTCAAGTGAGTTTCTTCCTTGCAGCCAGAACCCAACTGTAATTTTTACTCCAAACAGCACTGCTCTCCTCAGCATGCTTCCCATCCACCTCGGGATTGCACCCAGCCAGGAGACCTGACAGATCAATATTATGACTGTACACTAAATTAGTTGCTGGTGTGCTCTAGGGCAAAACAGACTGATTGAAAGTATCAACACTTACCCCTGCTGCCCCCCTTTAAAGCTCTTGCAAATTCGGGAAATACAGGGGCAGGTTTTCTTGCAAACTACCTTTTATTATTTGTAGCACATGCAGCCACTACCAGTAACTCCTGAGCAGGGGGAAACAGGTTACAGTGCAGTGGCAGAGGGGTTCAGACTGGTAACAGCTCAAAAGACTGGTTTACTGAGTAAAAAAATGCTTGGAATAATAATAATAATTAAAAAAAAGCTGAAATGGCTGTTGTGAGAACACATCTCAGGGGGAGGGCTGCCAAGGAGTCCGACAGCTCTGAGCTCCTCACAGACCCCAAGCACAGGAGCCGTTGGGTTGCAGTGTGAGCAGAGAGGAGGGACTGTCCCAGGGAGGGGCTTTTGTCACCAACTGGTGGTGACAGAACCTGGAAGAGCTGATTTTGTTAACAAACTAGAAGTTACATTCAATTTGCCTAGCAGAAATTGCGCTAGAGAAGAAACACAGAGTGAGTGTGAAGAGGAAGGCAGAGGAGTGGCTGGTGTTTTGTCAAACACAAGCATTGCCTCAGCCGGGAAGTGTTGATTCTGAGTTACCTCAGACCCTAAAAAGGGAAAGCCTGAAAATGAGAGACCCAGTATAAATGCAGAGGTGTTGATGGCCTGAAGGAGGGGAGACAGGTCACTGCTAAGCAGCTGCCCAAGGAAGGCACACAAAAAACAGCAGCAGCTTTTATTACAGTCTGGTGATAGAAACACAGAAGATAAAGATCTCATACTGACAAGGCTGAAGACCCTGATATTGAAAACGTAATTGATGCTGTTCAGAAAAAGCAAAAGCCTGTGTTGCCCTCCAGTGCAACTGCATGGGGCTGGCTGTAAAACCACCCCTCTAACGTGAAGGCTGAGCATGCTGGAGTGAATCCAACCAGCCAAAGCATCCAGGTACCTACCACCACAGATGCTCATTTCCCCAATCAGACTGCAAAGACATACACCAGCTCAAAAGGAGATCTCATTTGTGGGCTGCTGTAGTGTAAAAGTCAGGCGTTAACGCCCCACAGCACTGTCTCTTGGCAGACACCAGCTCCTGGGTGAGGATGGGCCAGGGTACATGTGTTTATTCATTCCTAGTGTGCCTTTGACTAGAGGCTGACATACAGATCGGGTTTTTGCTGCATGGAACAAATGCATGCCCCAAACACTTGTTGAAATCTGCTCCAGCACTTGTTCCAAGCATCACTGGTCAAGCGAGTTGGTCACCCTGTGCTTTAATCCCTCCATCAGCACCAAGGGGTGACAGCAGGACCCCACTGCCCTAGGAGGGGATGAAGGGCTGTGTTAAAGTCTGGGTTGTCTTCAGGGGCATGGGCCACTCGGAGCTGTCAGGGTAGTCCTGGCTACAAAAACCTTGACAGGAAGATAAAGAGCTTGAAAGTGAAGAGAGCTCAGAGAGGGGAAACAAGTACCCAGGGCAGCAGCAGCTCCAAAAGTCTGTCTCGCACTGCTGCCAAGGGACAAAGCAGAATGGAGAGAGCAGGGATCAGGCCCAGGGTGCGGCACTTTTTGCATGGCGCACGCATGGCTCAAAGTGACCACATCTGAGCAACGAGACGCAGCAGTGAACCAAAACGACTCTCCGTATCAATGCCAAAGCCCAGCCCCAACCACCTTCAACCTGACTTACATGCAGTCTAACAGAGACAGAGGTGCAAAACCAGCCCAGAGGGCTTCCAGCACAGCTCAACCAAAGCCAGCAGTCAAGGTGAATTTCGACTTTCAAAAGTCAAAACTTCACTAGAGTCTTCCTACTTGGCACCTACATGATCTCTCCAAGGTCTCTCCCAGACAAATACACCATGCTGAGCAAACAGTCTGCTCCATGTCCTTGCCTGACTTGTTTTAAAGTGCTGGACGAAGCAGTCTGTTTAAAACTGCATCATGGGCACCAAACACTCATGTGATTCTCAGCTTTGCACGAATGGTTAGCAGTAACATCAGAGTGCAACCAGAGACTTCAGAGAAATAAGCTCATACTAGCAACCATTAATTCACACCTAGTAGGCTCCTGTGAGCAGCGTGCAGCAGGCAGCCCACCTGGGACACAGTTCTTCTCCAAGCAGCACCTTCATTAAACAGCCATCATCAGGGTCCTGGCTCTTGGTTCACCAGGAAGATTAGCTGTTGCTGGATGTCAGTGGTGGTGCAAGAAGATCTGGCAGTGAATATTTAGATGCAAGCTTATAGACAGACACATTCAATGCCATTTCAGGAAGTGTGGTGAAAAGCTGCTATGTCACGTGCTGGTGATTTGGGTTTTTTTGGTAGTGGTTTGTTTTAGTTTTTTTGCTTGGGTTTTTTTTAAGCACAGAGTAGCTTTTCTGATGAAAATGCACTTTAAAATATCTAAGCACCCAGCTATTGTTTGGAGCTATTAAGCCCGCTGTTCCAAATCTCGTCTCTGGCAAGCATCCCAATTAAGCAGGCATCCCGTTGATCAGCTTTCTGATCACATGGGATTTGTTCTGCTGCTGCATCTGATATAATACTTTCTGCTTTGAAGAATTTCATGTGTAGCCAGAAGGAGGCCCCACCCTTCTCATTTAGAGAGAAAAAACATTCTCAAAGCCTGCTTCCACTGGCAGCATCTTCAGGAAATCAAAGGCAGGTGAAAGAGCAATCTCTTGTTTGTCCTGAAATTGGTGTGGAGCAAGTCAGGCAGCAGGAATTAGACCAAGAGCTCGTTTACTCTGAGCAGCGTGTGGGAAAGCAGGAAGGGAGCAGTCATTGCAGAAGAAATTTTTATTTTTCTTTGCCCATGTCTCTCTCATGGCATAATTTAGAAACCAGGGACCTTTCTCATCAGATAAGGTTACCTCTGAAATGAGAGCGCTAACCAGATGAACCGACAGATTCAGTCTCACAGGCAATTTAAAAGGCTGGAGTGAAATTGCAGGAGTGAACTGGACCTGCAAGACTGCAAAATGGGAAGATGGGAACTTTCCAAAGAGGAAATCCCAAAGATGTTTTGAATAGCCAACCAAAGAACGTCCACTGTGAATTCCCCAGAGGAAAACCCCAAACAGGAAAGGTTTGCTTCTGGTACAGGGCTAGGAAACCAGTGCTACCATTTTGTGGGAATTCAGGATTTCCTTCTCATGCACACATACTTTCATGAAAACTGAAAGATTACAGCAGATTAGAGCTTAAGGCACAGAGCAACTAAAGACTTTTTTGTGGCCCTTTTTCTCCTCTGCCTCACTTTTCCATCTTTGAAGTAGGAAGAATAAACAGCATTTCCCTAGCTTACACAGCAGGGTGAAGATAAAGCTGCTAACACACATGCAAGATCACCAGAGTGAGGATAAACATGGAAGAGCCTTCACAAGACAGGAGGAACACACCAGACCAGGGAAATGCCCCGGTATGGTGGCAGAGCACCATCATGGAGGGACACTGGCCAGCTTTCCCTCCTGAAACACAGCATCACTGCAAGCTCTTACGCCCAACAGCATCCAGCAAGGAAGAACCTTCCACCAGTCTCCTGTGAGGATAAACCAAAGACACTCCAGCTTGCCAAAGCCAGCAGCAGACAGTTGCTGTGTCTGAAGCCTCATTTGGGCAGAGAAGCCAGGCGCTGTAGGTGGGACATCAAGAGGCCAAGTGCAAGTTTGTCCACAGACTCGCACATCTTCAGGCTGGAAGAGTCTGTCCTAGGGATCCAGCCAGACCTCCCCTGTGGCACAGCACAGGGAACCTCACCCAACAACTGCACGTCAAGTGCATGTTGCCCCAGGAAAGATATTCAGCCCCAACTTTAAATGGAGAATTCCTAATTAGGCTCTCGGTTAAAAATGTGCAGCTTATTTATGTCAGCACCAAAGGGCTGCTTCAAGACCTCTGACATTTCTTAATAGCGACAGACTCAAACTCAGCTGACAAATGTCACCCCATCCCAGATATACCAACCAGCAGACACATCCTCCCCCGGCATAACAGGGTTCTCCAGCCTGAAAAACTGTTTTAACCGATAGGCTACAGCAGGGACAGGCAGTGAAGGCTTCTCTGAACTACCTGCTCTGCAAACACCCATCTCTCACAGGCTTCCCTCCCTACCTGAAGAGAAGCAAATCTTTCCTGCTGTTAGTATAAAACAGCATTACTGTGAAAAACAAGTGACAGAGCTGTGACACTAGCACAACTCTCTGCTGGGACAACTGCAGTGAAACCGGTCTCACTCCCAGACATAAAAGTACATTAAGGTTTTTGTAGGATTCATCTTCCCTGATTTTAGCTCACCAGTAGAACACATCTAGTCCAAGGGAGTCAACTGGCCTCTTGCCATAGTGTGGAAGAACTCCAGCATCCTCACCCCAGTGTAAAACGGTTATTCAAAACAGGATCCGTTAGAATTGAGGTACTCGGGACTTCTGGGATGTACGTTAATTAACTGGTCAAATATCCACCTGCTGGCAAGACCCTTCCACTTGATGCCCTGAATCTCACGGCTCCTTAGTTATCAGAGGAAAGGGGAGCCACAGCCGGTAAGAAGATGCAGAGGTAGCATCAGACATCCCTCTGGAAGATGCTGCCCAGCTCCATGCAGCGTGAACAACCGCCTGAGCAAGAGCACAGGGCTGGGGCCTCCGTGAGCAAACAGGAAAGAAACGTGGAACTGCGTGAACCCGACTCATTGCTGTAACTTACAATTGGCTGTAGCTGCGCGCCCGGTAGCATGAACTGCATTTGCTGAGCAAACATGGCTGCGGCTGTCTTCTGCTGGATCAGGTTGTTGCGTCCATTTATTTCAAGTTGTGTTTTTAAGTGCGGGGGAGGGTGGAGATATTTGCAGTTCTCTCGGGTACACCGGCCCTAAAAAACATAATGAAACAGCATTCCAGTCAATGTAACACTCAGGGCAGCCAGAGAAATTTAATTAAGGATTGTTTGGGTTACTGTAACAACACAATCATCCAGGCAGGGGCAGTTTGGTGGCTACTGCGCCTCTTTTGTGATTTTTCTATAGAAGTGCAATACTCAGGTGAAAAGAACAACATGACTTCTCCTGCCATAACACAAACAGAATACTATCAAACTAAACCCCAAAGTTACGACTTCCTGTTGTTAAAACGATTGTTGTGAAAAAAAAAAAAAAAAAATCTAACGCAAATAACAATATTTTCAGAAGTTAGTGGCAACAGTTCCAGAAACAACAACAAAAATTCCCCATTTTCTTGTGTGAGTTGTTTTTCCCCTCCCTCCCAACACCAGACCACTTAATTGGCCCTGACAACCAGACAGCGAGAAACAAAACTGTCTCCACCACTTCCCCAGCCGCGCTGTGTAAAACATGAAGATGACAGCTCAGTAAAGCAGCACCTCTGATCTGCAACGTGCGTGTACTGAGATGCTGAGAACTGGTAGTCACAGGAGGGAGAATCGAAACAATTTCCCCTTCGTGCTTTCATTTCTTAAAAGCCACAGTGTGTCGCATCCCTGGCTACTCCCCCCTCCCACCCCTCCAAATGAACATAAGCACTAGGGAAGCCACTGGCTCCTCAAAAGCAAGGGATCACTGATGTTACAGATCACCTCAAATCAACAGAGACCATCATTTTCAAAAAAGATCTATAAACTGTGCCTTGCTTTAATACCGTTTGCAAGTAGGCACAGGAAGATAAATACCAATAGTCCACTGAACACAGAAAACTAGGAACAAATGTTGTCATTAATGAAATAATTCTTGAAAAATAGGGTTTTTTTCCCCCTCTTTCTCTGTGTATTCCCTCCTCAAGAAACAGAGGCATACAGAATACAAGAAACACTTCATGCAACTTTATGCATAAATTCTATAACTAACTTATGGTAAATTTTTTTGATAAAGTAATTCTGTAGCTGTTCAGAGCCTAATAAAACATGGCTGGGCCTGAAGACCACAGAGCTGTAGCATGACAGATAACTAATCATCGCTCCTGCAGCCAGCAAAGGAGCAGGACCATCCATTACCCAGCCTGTCCCTGGCTCTCTTGTCAAGGGCTGGACACAGAGTTCTCAGGGTAAATATAATTAAGTTTGCTTTCAAAAAAGGGGCACATTGGGTCACCCCACATACCTGCTCCCATTGGCAGGATCACATCCAGCAGAGCTGTAACCCCATAACCAGGTCCACACGGAGGCACCCATTACCACTGCACCCAGGGCACGGCGTGGTGGAAACCCCCTCTGCCTGCATCCAGGATGCTCCCCTGGGGATTTTTAAGAACTGCCTGTACAAATGTATGGGTGGAATCATGGGACAGTTTGGGTAACCCTGCACAAAGCCAACACCATAACCCACTGCAAGGGCTGCTCTTGAACCCCCAGCCAGGCTCCTCAGCATGCCAAGAGAGGGATAGGTCACTGGAGAGCAGCCGAAGATTTGCAAGCTTTAAGTGTGCTTTCCTCTGCCCACCTTTCCTGGTGGGGATAACGGCTTCACGGGGGAGAGGGCTGCAGAGCCCATCTGCGGCATGAAAGGGGCCAGATCAATGGAACATCATGAGAAACAGGCTCCTCTCTTATCTGCTCCAAGGAGCTCACGGCGCTAAACAAAACTCCTGTCTCCCTGTTGTTATTTAGAGGCAAATAATTAAATGCAAGAAGTGATGGGCTAAACCGTCTGGGACAGGAAAAAAACCACCCCCAAACTTCAGCACCCTGCCTTTGCGGAGTGAAGCCCTCTGTCCTGCTCCTAGAAGAGCCCAGTGGCTTGTGACAACCCAACTCAAAAAGAAAGGCTTTTTAATGCTCTTGTTTTGGCTTCTCAGGAATCCAACAGCCCCAGATCCCCAGCAGCAAGTTAATTGCTCACAGGCCCCAAAGACATGAATCTTCATCACCAGACACTTTCTTACATCTGTGTAAAATGAGGGTAAAATGGCACCACACAGCTGGCTGATGCTCAGACAACCCAGTGCTACTGCAAAGTAAATAACTGCATTAACCGGGAAGGAGAAGGAGACTCATCAGCACTAGGTAGGTTTGGGTCATCCTTCTCATGGCATCTTTCCAGCTGCATGGGACCAGGTCCCTCCACAGCCCTTCCCATCACCTGGGACGCAACAAAAGTCCAGCACTCGGGCTCAGAGCATATCTGCAGCGTCCCACCTCCACAATTTCTGTGGGGCTGCTCAGGTTGCTGCAGACCAGGAGCAGACCCCGCAGAGCAGCGGGTTGTCGATGACCAGGCGGCTGCTCTGTTCTAAGCTCCAGCCTTTGAGGGCTTACACATCAGCTTTAGAAATTCCTCCTGGTTGAAACTTGGCACAAGTGCTTTGGGTTGGGAAAACACTAATTTCTACCAAATTTGGAATAAATCTGTGTAGATGTTTCTACACTGCAGGAATGAAAAACATAAAAAAAAGAGCTACTGTTTTTTGTAAACAATACTTACAGGGCCTTCTTCAACTTGAAAAGGACTTTGCTATTCTGCTGAAATTTTGCATGTCATCGATACCAGCCACCCCAGCTTGGTGTGAAGCTTTGTTCTACTTTTTTCTCAAAACAGAGTTTGTTTAATTCCAACAGCGGGTTCTACAAACAGAACGTTTTTATTACCAACAAAAAAACCCCCATACAGCACAAGGCCTTGATCCTGCAGACAGAGCTGTGAGCAGAAATCAGTGCCCACACAAGAGCGCTACTGGTTTCAATGAGGACACGTGTTCGGAAGGAACGGAGAGCTGTGCAGATGGTGCTGCAGAGCCAAGGCTGTGTAAGTGCAGCACGGCTGTCAGTCAGGCCTCCAGGAAGGCTAAATGAATCACCGCTGCACCCTGATTCAAAACCACATCTTCAGTCTAGCTCCTCCTCATCATCATTTTGATCCTGAGCATCATCAACCACTGCATTTCACCAGGACAGGTTAGAAGTCACAGCTGAATTGGGTTGCCCTCTCCACCACCACAGTAGGTTCTTCATCTCTCAGACAATGAATCAGGAACTGATGATGCGACAGACTGACACAAAACTTTCCCAGTTTAGACATCCAGCTACGAAACAACTTTCAAGATGCCTTGCTCTGAAACGATGGGCACCTCTAATATCCTCTGAACTCCAACACTAGTAGGGGTGATCCCTTCTTCTATGCTTCCATCACAACGCCCACAGTTCTCCGTACTTCTCAGCAACATGTACACTCTTCAAGACCAATTTCAGCTCTACGAAAAACTGCCAGAGGGACAAAGGAACTGCCATTATTCACTTCTCAGTACCAGCTGCAACGCAGCAGGGAAAACAACAGGGAACTGGTAGCAAATCTGCTGCGTGGATACTGGGCTGGGGACAAATAAGGACAACTCCATTTTATACCTGGGTGGCCTAGGAATACAATATGAGAAAATACAATAGGAGTCAGGCCCCTAAGTTTCAGATGAGCATCCTTACGCTAAAAGGCGCCGTTTTGCTGCAGTGACTGGATGTGGCTCCACCACATCGAATGCTCAGCACAGGGCACAGGACAGTCCCAGTGCCCTGCACAGATGCCTGCTGAGACACTCTCCAAACTGAGTGTTGCACCAAAAAGCACCATCCTTGCACCCAGAGTGGGTCACCGCATGTGTTGGGAAGGGGCATGGTGCTCAGAGACTGACCTGTGTCAGGGAGCGGTGTGCCGAGCCTGCTGGGACCAGTGCAGCCATCCTGCTGGAACTGCGGGAGTTTGCAGTTAATTTAGCATGAGTGTTGGCTCCAGGGAGGACGCGTTCCCACCCTGTCCTGGGTGGCACACAAGCCTGCAGCCAGGGAATCACCACCCAGCAACAGACTCTGCTGCTGGCCTTGGTAACATGCTAAATATAGCTGTATTTTCTGGCTCCTTGCAAAATGGAAGGAGTGTGAAAGACCATATTCGTCAGCTGCTTTGCCAACTACAGCCAGGAGGGAAAAGCATATGGACTGCACTTCCCAAGGCTTGAAAAATGGATATTAAAAATAAATCATTAGAAGATTTTATAAGAGTATCTTCTCCCCCTTTCTTCCCACACACTCCCCCCCACCCTTACAGTAGGCTGCTGGCATGTGATTGACTCTGTGTTGCCAACTTAAGTCATGCTGTGATGGCGCATACTGTAAATGGCTGGCATCTGACACTAGCTAACGTGACAGCAGCTTGCAGTGCAACAAAGCCAGCTGTTTCAAGTGCAGCACTGATGGCAGCACACTTGAATCCAGTAGAAAAATCGGCATTACACCTGGCTGTTTGGAGTCTGCTGGGCTGCACCTTGTCATCTGCATCCTAGCTTGGAGGGATGCAAATAAGAGCAGGCTGGGTACTGCACCAGGCTGGATGAACCTACCCTAAGCATGCTACACAAATTCTCTTCTTGTTGGCTGCTGAAGCGAGCTGAAGTGTGCTGCAGAAACAAGGCTTCCAGCACAAACCCAAGGCCTGCTCACGTTTGCACCACTAATGCAGTTTGTTACGGTCTCTTTAATCCTGGACATCAGCGAGGGGTTCCAGAGCAGACACATGTTTCTGGTTTTCATGACTGCACTGTATGTCCCATCAATCACCAGCAGTTCTCATGTGAAAATCTTTAAGCTAACGTGGCTTTTCACACACTGGAGGCTGCAGTAGGCTTGTGCCCTGACTGTGCTGTCTTTTCCACAGACACTGATGACATGTGCAATGACTGACAGCAGAAAGAATGAAAAGAGACCAGGCAGGAAAGGATTTCCATGTTTTGCACAAAACCAGGCACCAAAACACAGCTTGTCTGCGTAACTTTTCCCTGCATGAAGCAGCAGATTTCTACCCCCCCAAGAAGAACTCAGCGGGGAGGCACATTCAGAGATGCACTGGCCCTGCTTACTCAGTGCCTGCCGCTCCAGCG